GTACAAAGCAGACAGGTCCAGGGTCAAAGTAAAGCCCTGCAATGAACCTAGGGGCAGCTGCGTGGTGTAGGCAAAATCTCACCATCTCCCTGTGTCTTAGTTTCCCCATCTGTAAATTGGTAAACATTCGTGATGTTTAGCACAGAGCCTGACATCATTTCATTGAACAAATACTCACGACCTGTTATACACGAGGCCCTGTGAGACTCTGGGGATTTGAGAGACACTGTCCTTACTCTCATGGGGCAATTACAGGAGCAGGTGGCGTGTTTTAGGGGGATAGAAGTTGTGTTTTCATTACTTCTTCTCTGGCCCTTCCTGACTTTTTTCCTACTGAACCCTTCAGGGACGTTAGAATGCAGACCGGACTGTCTTCTTTGTAACTGGTGGGCAGGTTCACAGCTATAATTCCTGATGTCAGGGATTCATGCCTGTTTACAGATAGGGAATCAGAACCCATTTCCTCTGTCTGTGTATGCAGGGTTGTTTTTCTTTTTTTAAATTCTTTTCTTATTTTTGGGGAGAGGTTTTTGTTTGTTTGTTTTTTGCTATAGGGCTCGTGCACTTGCCAGAAAGACAGAGAAAGACAGAGAGAAAGAAAGAAAGAAATCCACCCACAGGTGGGATGGCCATGCCACAATCCTTTCTCCTCTCAGGATCTTGGGCACACACGCACACGCACCCAGCGTGAGTTTAAGCCACCGGGTCCGGGACTCGAACCGCAGTTGACTACATGGGAGTCTAGCAACATAGCCATTATACTAACTGCTGATCCCAGGGCTTTTTTTTGAATCTGTCCCCACCCTAGTGTCCACCCCTGAGCAATCTTCCCATTGTCCCTTGTCCCTCCTGACTAGGATGGAGTAAGGCTGTCTCCTCCAGTTTCTGCCTTTGATAATGTAATCTGGTACCTCCTTCACTTCTGGGCCAGCGATTCCCCATTATTGGGCCCAAAGTGAACCAATACTCAGTCATGTTCACACATGTTCTTTATTTTTAATTATTTAATTTTATTTATTATTATTTTTCTTTTAAAAAATTGCTATAGGGCAGGTGCTTTCACCAGAGAGGGACAGAAACTGAGAGAGAGAGTGAGAAAGCAAGCTGCCATGTCCAGGACTCGAACCACAGTCAGTCATGTGGGAGTCCAACACCCTAAGCACTACACCATCTGCTGGCCCCTATGCATGTTGTTAAGCTATACAACTACAGTTGCTTGTTTGTTTTAACTTTATTTGTATTTATTTATTATTTACTTTAATTTGACCAGAGAGGGACAGAGTAAGAGAGAGAGAGAGAAAGTGAGAAAACAAGCTGCCAGGTTTGGGACTTGAACCTCAGTTGGCCATGTGGGAGTCCAGCACCCTTAGCCACCATCCTACCTTCCAGCCTCAAGTACAGTTGTTTGAATCCAAAACATGACTTTGTATTTATCCCTGTTAAATGTCTCCTTGTAGTTCTGCCCCTGGAAGGTGGAGGTGGGGGCCGGAGTCTCTGGTCTCTGCCAGTGACTGGGGAATGTCCATGAAACCCCATGTCTTCCTCCTCACTGCCTTCATTGCCTGTGGCTCGCCTCTTCCTTCCTTTCTGTTCTCTGCTCACATTCCTTTCCTCTTCCTAACTCTCAGTACCCCAGACACCATCTGGATGTCCGTTTCTGTGTACCTTGTCTGTGTGTCCCTGCTGACATAGAAGCTCTGCAGGAGAAAGGGGCCGGGCCGCATCTCTCCTCAACGCCGGAGCAGTTCCTGGACTACAGTCGGCACTCAATAGATATCTGCTGAACAAATGACTGAATTTCCCCCACATCTGAGTACCATGTTCTGTGTCCAGGTGTAAGGAGGCTGGTGATGAAGCAAAGATGCCAGGGTATCAGCCCTCGAAACTCAGAGAAGAGGGAGGAAGAGCTGAGGGGCAAGGAGGGTGTCACAGAGAGGGCAGGACTGAGCCCAGCTCTGCCAGCTGATCATGTGATGATGGGCATGCCACTTTAGTTTGCTCAACCTCAGTTTTCTCATCTGAAAAATGGGGTGTTAGTACTTACTTTGTAGGTGGGTATGAGAATTTCAGGAGATGAATATGTAAAATGCCTGGCTCATAGGTGCTTGGTAAATCTTAGCTCTTATCACCAGTTGGTAGAAATGGAAAATGAGTGATATAGAGTTTTTGTTAGTCCTATAAAAATAACATGTTTTGGGGCCAGCAGGGAGTATGGTGGTTAAGGGTGCTGGATTCCCACAAGGGAGCTGGACTCCTACTCGATTGCAGTTCGAGTCCTGAACCTGGCAGCTTGCTTTCTCACTTTCTCTCTCTCTCACTCTGTCCCTCGCTAGTCAAACTAAAAACTAAATAAATAAATAAAAATAAAATAAAATTTTTAAAAAAACCTTCTTTAAAAAACCTACATGTTTCCATCTAATAACTTCCTTTTTGAGGTATTTTTTTGTTTTTTTGTTTGTTTGTTCGTTTGGTATTTTTTGCCATAGGGTATGTGTACTTGACAGAGAGAGGGAAAGTGAGAAATCACTTCCTGGGGGGATGGCCATGCCACAATCCTTTCTCCTTCATTCTCCTGGGAATCTGTACGTACGTGCGCACACACACCCAGCATGAATTTCATTCTGCCGGGTCCAGGACTTGAACTGCCGCTGGCCATGTGGAAGTCCAGTGCCTTAACCAATACAACATTTGCTAGCCCCTTAATCTAATAACTTTTTAACCGTTTAATGAATTCATAATTTTTAAGGATGTCTTATATTTTCATAGCAATTTACATTTTGTAAAACGCTTTTACACTGTTATCTCATCTGACCCTCATGATAACCTTATAAAGTTATCAGGGATGAGTGTCCCCTTTTTATGGACGAAGAAACTGAGACCCAAGGATCAAGTGTTGTGCCTAAGGGTAGGCAGCAGCCGAGCTGGGGCCGAACCCATTCTCCTGACTCCCAGCCCGAGTGCCAGGCAGCTGTGACTTAGAGGATACCTGAGTGCCCCAGCCTGCTGATGAAGTCATCCTGGCCTAGAAGGGGATGTGCGAGGGAGTGGAGTGGAGACAGTCTTGGATGGCACGCCTGAGGGTTTCTGTTGGTTCTGTGACACTGTCGGCACCACCCTGGGTAAGTGGAGTTCCAGGGTTGGTACCACAGGAACACATGATGTCAGGCCCTGAGCTGGGCATGAAAGGGGTCTCAGGAGTGGGCAGTCTGTAGAGGAGAAAGATCTGTGAGTTCATGGCATTCAGAGAAGGCTTCCTGGAGGAGGTGGAGTGTTACGAGCCATGAGCTAAGACTTAAAAGATATGAGTTTGAATCCCTGTGTTCAGTGTGGCCTTGAATAGGTAAGCCAGTGCCACTCAGGCCCTTTCCCTATATGTAACATACAGGCACTGGATTGGGTACTCTGAGATCCCACAATTTCTGAATTATGCAAATCTGGATTTTAGCAGGTTTGCAGAGCAGGCGGGTATTTGTAGACCGGAGGTGAGTGTTTAGGGTAGAGGGCACAGCTTGAGCAATGAACCCTCAGAAGTAGGAGGCAGCAGGGAACTCGGGAGAACCGAGAGCATGCTGGCATCTGATGCATGGGAGACAAGACGAGGCTTAAGGGCTTATCCCCTGGGTCCTTGCATGCCCAGCAAAGGAGCCCGCACTTTATTTGGGGCTGAGGGGAACCGTGGAAGGCTTACAAGCAGGGCGAGCTCCATGTAAAGCACTGTGGCACTCTTAGACCCGAGCCTGAAAGGGAAGTAAGGTGGGGCTTCTTACCATACAGGAAACTCAGCCGCTGAGGCAGCCTTTCCTGGAGAAAGTGGGAGGCTGCTTGTCGACACATATGTGTCCCCTGAGCCTCAGCCTCTAACTGTTGGGTCTCTTCCTGTCGTAGAACTGCCCCTCCAAGCTGAGTCCAGAGACCTTCCAGGCCTTCCGCATCAGCGCCATGGACAAGCTCACTAAGGACACCTACCGTGTTCGGTTCGCACTACCAGGGAACAGCCGGCTCGGCCTGCAGCCCGGCCAGCACCTCGTCCTACGGTACGCTCAGGTCGTGGGAGGACCAAAGCTTCACAGTCTTCCTTGCCGCTTGCCCACTGGGTGACCTAGGGCAACTCGCATATCCTCCTTGAAGCCTCCGTTTGTCACCTGCAATAGAGACATAGTAAAATGCGACTCAGAGGGCTCTTGGGATTGAACTAAATAATGCATTTTTGTAATAAATATTAATACGAGTACATTTTGTTTTGTTTTATTGTTTGCTATAGAGCACACGCGCTTGCAGGAGAGAAACAGAGGGAAAGTGAGAAGTCACTCCCCAGAGGGATGGCCACACCACAATCCCTTCTCGTCCTTTCTCCTCTTAGGATTTTGGGCACCCATGCATATGTGCCCAGTGTAATTTTCAAGCTGCTGGGTTTGGGGTTCGAACCACGGTCAGCCATGTGGGAGTCTGGTGCCTTAACCACTATACAACCTGCCCCAAGATGAGTACTTTGTTTCATTTTTATTTTTTGGAGAGGTTTTTGCTATAGGGTGCATAAGAGACAGAGAGACAGAGAGATAAATAGTGAGAAATTAGCCCTCAGGGGGGATGGCCACGCTGCAATCCCTTCTCTATTCTCCTCTTGGGATCTTGGACATGCACGCACATGCACCCGATGTGAGTTTAAGCCACCGGGTCCGGGACTCGAACCACAGTCGATTACATGGGAGTCCAGTGACATAGCCATTACACCAACTGCTGGTCCCAAGATGAGTGCTTTAATAGCACTTATTATTCAAGGCATAGTTCTGTGTGCTTATTATATACATGAATTCATTTAACCCTCACCATTTCCTGTATGGTTGGTGCCTTTATCATCCCCCAGAAGAAAATGAAATCAGAGAGGTTGAGGAACTTGCCCCGGGTCACACGGGAAATGTTAGAACCATGATCTGAAAACAAATAGTATGTTGGTAGAGCCTGTGGTATTAACCTCATATACTTAGCACCACTGTACTGTCACTGAGAACAGGGATTGGCCCACTGCTGCATAGCTAAGGCATAGAGCTGGAATGCAAGCCCAGGTGTCTGGCTCCCGAGTTGCACCCTTAACCACTCCTCTGAGGCTCCTCCCTCTCAGCCTACTTTGGTACTTTTCTCCTACCCTGATCCCTAACCACCTCCCCGCCCTCCCCACCCCCACTCAGGGACAAGACCCTTTGGGATGTCCAGGTGGAGGAGGTGTCTGTAGGCAGGTGGCTCTATAGGTCGTTTTTTCTCTTTAATTGCTGGAGAGTATATGTGCTTGCCAGAGAGAGACAGAGAGAAAGAGAGAAAGCACCCCTTAACCCCTTAATGGGCATGGTCATGCCACGGCCCCTTTTCCTCTATCCTGTCAGGATTTGAGGCATCCATGCACATACACCCAGCGTGTTTTTCAAATCACAGTTGGCCTTGTGGGATCCAGCTCCCTTGGCCACTGTGCTAGGGGTAAGCCCGACTATTGGCCTTCGCTCAGCAGAGAGAGCTGACGGGCAGACAGGTGTTTGAGAGTCGTTGGCACACATAGGATGGCATTTGAGGACACGTGTCCATGGAAAGAGGAGAGAGCCTAGGACTGAGCCCTGGAAACACTGGCATTTATGGCACTTGGGGAGGGGGATAACAAAGGGGCCAGAAGATGCAGCCAGAGGACAAGGCAGGGACCAGCAGAGCTTACTGGTCTTGTGCAGTTACACCGACCCCAGGCTGGCCCCTGCTCCAGCTCGTCATGGCCTGTGGCTTGGCTGGTGGTCCCTGAAGTCTGCTATTCCAGTGGGCAGGGGGATGGCAGGGATTAAATGGCCTGCCCAGGCTCTCACAGGCAGTATGGAGCAGCAGATGAGCCCAGGGCTATTTTTCTGTTGCATCTTGCTTGCCTCTCAGTGAGGATCTTTGGGGATAACCCACCTTCACTTTCACCATCCTGGCTGAGGAGGATCACAGGAGGGTTTGTTGACTGACTGACTGACTGACTGCATGCTTCTCTCTCCCAGAGGGATGATAGATGACTTAGAAATTCAGAGAGCCTATACGCCCATCAGCCCTGCCAATGCGGAAGGATACTTTGAAGTCTTAATTAAGGTGAGTTGACTCTCAAGGATGCTGCAGGTGCCACAGCCTGGTGCCTCCCTCACCAGCTTGCTCAGTTTCCGCCATTGTGGGAAACCCACTGTTCACACGGGAAGAGGCTGACCTGAGAGGGAGTGGGGTCGGGGAGGAGGCCTTCTCATGTTTCTTTCCTGGGAGGGGGGCTCCTGTGCCACCAACAGAGGGCATATTCCGGACAGGGTGTTGTAAAAGAAGGCTCTGACCGAGACAGTGATGGCTAACTGCTCCTCGGTATTTGACCTGTCGGTAGAGAGGGAGCACAGAGCTGGGAGGGGAGGGAGCCAGGTCCCCTGCACCTACTGCATGCTGGGCACTGCAGAGGTGAGTCGGACTTGATGCCACGCTAGGCCAGGTGACAGTACAACGTGACAGACGCCATGACAGAGGAGGCCAGACTAGCTCAGCGGGGTGCTGGGAAGGCAGGCTGGGCTTCCCAGCAGAAGCTGTGTTCCCAGGAACTAGAGGGGAAAGTGGGGAGGAAGCTCTGAGTGAGCTGAGTGGCATGGGCCGAGGCAGAAGAGGCTTGGTTTGGGGAAGTGAGGCATCCATCCTGGAACCAAGGAGGGCACATCGGGGAGTGGGTGCAAGGAGGGCCTCAGACAGAAGGTGAGACATGGAGGGCCTTGCAGATGGACTCACCTGAGGTAGCTCCTGGGGACGGAAGGGCATCTGAGTTGGCCCTTGAAGAGGTAGAAGTTAGTGGTGGCAGGGATGGCATTCTAGGCTGAGGAGACAGATAACCGCAGACAGGGGCGAAATAGCACAGGGCCTCTGGGAATACCCAGTTGGCTTGGTGGGAAGAGAGGGTGCTTGTGGGGCAGCCAGGTGGGTCGGGAGTGGCAGAGATGAGATGAGCAGAGCAGGCTGATCCCTGGGGGCCAAGGAAGAGGCAACGAATGTGTAGGGAGACGTGGAGGTTCAATTGTGTGGGAAAATAATTAGGTTGAACAACACACAATTGCTGATACTCTAACATCCTTGACTCACAGGACCAGTTTCATATGGGTCGATCCAATATATAACTCTAGATCATCATATCCCACAGGGAATCCTAGGGAGCGCCTGTGTTTAAGAAGAGCTTTCAAGGGGCTAACAGGTAACGTGGTGATTAAGGTGCTGGATTCCCACATGGTCAACTGTGGTTCGAGTCCTGGACTGGCAGCTTGCAAATCACACCAGGCACACGTGCATGCTCCAAATCCTCAGAGAATGGACGAGAAGGGATTGCAGTGTAGCCATCCCTCCTGGGGGATGATTTCTCACTTTCTCCCTGTCTATCTTCCTCTCTCTCCGCTAAACATACACGTCCTATGGAAAAACCTTTGAAAAAAAAGAAAAAAGCTTTCACTTTTCTTAATCTCCCTTATAAGAAATTAATTATTACCCCTATTTCGTTAGTAAGCATACTGAGGCCTCAGGAGGACCAGAAGTCCCCATAGCTAGTAAGAAGTGTGTTGCTGTGAACCCTGGCCTCCTGACTCCAAGACTCCAGCACTCTCTCTGCTCCCCACTCCATCCATGCCTTCCGAGCCTGATGTTTATCCCCTCACACATAAGCCTGGATGAGATCCCTTCTCCATGAACTGTTTGTCTGGGAGATTCCACAAATCCTCTCCAAATGGCCTGCTTCCCCTAGCTGCGTGTCGGGGTGTGTTTCTGCTGAAAGGATGAGCCTGGAGACGGTTCTTCAGGGCAGCTGATCTCTCCCAGCTGCAGGGCTGATTTTCTCCTTCGTTTATAGGAAAGCCTCTCTTTAGAGAGATACATAATTATCCCTAAGCCACTGGCTAG